TGTTTGCGGGGTGGGTGTGTGTGTGTGTGTGTGGCGCTGCTACCTGCCTTCTGTTTCTTTTTTCTTTTTAAAAAAATGCATTTTATTGATTTTTTACAGAGAGGAAGAGAGAGGGATAATTAGAAACATTGATGAGAGAGAATCATCGATCAGCTGCCTCTTGCACAACCCCTACTGGGGATGTGCCCGCAACCAACGTACATGCCCTTGACCGGAATTGAACCTGGGACCTTTCAGTCCACAGGCCAACGCTCTATCCACTGAGCCAAACCGATTTCGGCTTCTTTTTTCTTTTTAATATATTTTTATTGATTTCAGAGAGGCAGGGAGAGGGAGAGGTAGAAACATCAATGATGAAAGAGAACCATTGATTGGCTGCCTCCCGCAGGCCCCACAACTGGGGATCGAGTCCACAACCTGGGAATGGAATCCTGACCTCCTGGTTCATAGGTCCACGCTCACCCCTGAGCCACGCCCACCAGGCTCCTAAACACCACCTCTGCCGGCCTAAAGGAGCCATCCATTCACCCCTGAGGAAGGAAGCATTACATTTTTCAAAAAAGAGGCAAAGCCAGGACTCCCATGCAGATATAAAATCAGCACGCATTGCACATTTCCTTTTGCTCCTGAGACAGGGGAACGTCCGGCCCGAGGGCCATATAAGACCCTCGAAATCATTTGGCCTGGCCCTGCCAAGGCAACCGCAGGCAGGACTTGAAATTCAATAAATCTAGGAGCGTTTTTCATAGCAACAAACATGAACATTAAGTGCATTACGTTAAAAGAACGGTGTTATGAGGATCCAAATGGTCCTTGGCAGGAAAAAGTTCCCCAGCCCTGTCCCAGGGGAACCGGGTGGACGTGTTATAAATGACCAGCTCCAAAGGCGACAGAAGAACACGCGAGTGTTCAGGTCAGGAATATCGAAATGCACGTGCCAATGGGAAGGAAGTGATTTCTCTCTCTCTCTTTTTTTTTTTTTTTTTTAATATTTTATTGATTTTTCACAGAGAGGAAAGGAGAGGGATAGAGAGCTAGAAACATGGATGAGAGAGAAACATTGACCAGCTGCCTCTTGCACACCCCCTACCAGAGATGTGCCCACAACCAATGTACATGCTCTTTACCTGAATCGAACCTGGGACCTTTCAGTCCACAGGCCGACGCTCTATCCACTGAGCCAAACCGGTTTTGGCTGGAAGTGATTCCTCCACAAGGGGCCGAGGAGGACTGTGTACAGACAGGACAGTCTGGCCAGCAGCCCGCAGTTTACACTGGGACAGAGCTCAGAGACAGCACCAGGCGGGGGCCCAGCACCCAGGAGGGTACACTGTGGACAGCGTGTAGTTTCCGCCGGGTGCACCCTTCCTCGGCAGCAGGAAGGTCACGGAGAGGGTGCCCTCCGTGGTCTCTAACCTGACGGCCCGTCAATGGGTTAGGGTGACTCACTCGCTGAATGCAAAGTCCTCTCTGGAGGAATTGGGGAAGTTCAGCTTCCGGGCAAGCGGGAGGCCTACAGCCCGAAAGCATCAGCGTTCCAGAGGGAGGGTGCACGGCAGCTATGGTGTTTTTTTTTCAGCTGGATGTTGGCATCTGGAACATTCCAGAATGTATGTGTGTTTGTGACCTGAGTTGGTGACAGAGGTCTGTGGTTTTCACTGGGCAGTTACACCACTTCTCTGATGTGCACTGTCCCTGTCTCTGAATTGGGACAGTAACAGTACATAGATTGTGAATGTTTTTTAAAAAAAATATATATTTTATTGATTTTTTTTACAGAGAGGAAGGGAGAGGGAGAGTTAGAAACATTGATAGAGAGAAACATCCATCAGCTGCCTCCTACACACGCCCTACTGGGGATGTGCCCACAACCAAGGTACATGCCCTTGACAGGAATCGAACCGGGGACCCTTGAGTCCACAGGCCGATGCTCTATCCACTGAGTCAAACTGGTCAGGGCAGCTTGTGAATATGTTTAATGAGCAGCTATTCACCATATGAAAAGTGTATTTTAAATGATCAGACTAACCGTTTCTTTGACATGGTCACTGGGGTATTTTCAGATCAGCCCAGCCCTCCACTAAGTCCTCATTTCCATCACCTGTGTTCCTAGCAGCGTGGGGAGCAGCATGCAGGCGCCATGGACATGCTGGCATGAACTACACCTTCAAACACCTGGGTGTGGCCTCAGGTGAGGGGGTCCGGGGAGGAGTGACAGACCAGCACAGGTCTCCCTCCAAGAGGGTGTAGTCTGGTCGCAGGAAGGCCACAGTTTTCCAGTTTGTTTTCTTCTCTCATCCTCTTGGCAATCGGTAGGCGGACAGAAAGTATTCCCTTCTTGCATCTGGAGAGGCATGCCTAGTTCGCTAGTCCATGCTGCCCTCTAGTGGCTGTGCCCGGTAGCCCAGGGCAGCCAGCACAGTCTCCCTGGGTTTGCAGGCTGCATGGCCAGCCTTCCTAGGATCCCAATCATGGGCACCTGTCTCCCCGCTCAGGACTCCTACATCAATTTATCAGCCACTCTCTGTCCCTGAGCATTAAATATACATATCTAATTGTCGTAAAATATACATGACATGTAGCATCGTGACCATTTTAAAAATATATATATTTTATTGATTTTTCAGAGAGGAAGGGAGAGGGATAGAGAATCAGAAACATCGATGAGAAACATTGATCAGCTGCCTCTTGCACACCCACTAGCGAGGATGTGCCCGCAACCAAGGCACATGCCCCTGTCCAAAATTGAACCCGGCACCCCTCAGTACACAGGCAGACACTCTATCCACTGAGCCAAACCGGTTCCAGCCATCCTGACCATTTTTAAGTGGCATTAGAGTCACTCTATTGTGCAACCACCTCCCCATTCATCGCCCAACTGTTAATCTTGCCAATTGAAACTCTGTAACAACTCCCCATCCCACCTCCCCAAGTGCTCTCCGTGCTCTCCGCACAGGACCTCCTACTTCCTGTCTCTATGAATGTGACTACCCCCAATGCCTTATCTAAGTGGAATCATTCAGTACTACTTTAAAAATATATATATATTTTATTGATTTTTTACAGAGAGGGAGAGGGATAGAGAGTTAGAAACGTCGATGAGAGAGAATCATCGATCAGCCACCTCCTGCACACACCCCACTGGGGATGTGCCTGCAACCAAGGTACATGCCCTTGACCGGAATCGAACCTGGGACCTTTCAGTCCGCAGACCGATGCTCTATCCACTGAGCCAAACCAGTTAAGACTCACACAGTACATCGATGTGACTGGCTTATTTCTCACTGCAGGACCCCCCCGCCCCCGAAGTGTCCCCTTTATAAAGTGGTGTATACATGTGCAGCCTGGAAGACAAAAGCACCCCCAGAATCTCACCCAGATAGCAGCCCTGCAAAACCACCAACGGGACTCAGGCTGGGCCGTGAGGAGTCACAGCACGAGGGTCCAGCTTCATGGCCGGAAAAGCCAGGCAGGTGGCCCCTGACAGCAGGGAGCCGGCCTGGCCCTCAGCGTTGGGCCTGGGTGAGCTCCAACCTCACAGCTCACTGTGGCCGCCTCTGGGCCAACTGCAAAGATGACCAGCACCCCATCCTCCAGGCACTGCTGCCCCCCAACCAAGCACAGCTGTAGGGCCACACCCTTAATATAAAAAAAGCTTCTCGATCACAATCCTGGCATTTTCCCTGCTTCCGGAGCACACGCTCGGAGCAAACCCCCACTTCCTTAGCTCTCTCCCAGTTCCTCACACCTGCCCACGTCCCAAATCCCTCCTCACCGGCCGTCCAGCAGCAAGCACAGCGAACCCCACATTGTCTCCTGGGGCATGTCTCTGATGGATGGGCCTCCACAGGACCACCAGGAATGCGGATACAAGGCGTGATGACCAAGGACTGCCGGCCAGTGCCCCAGAGGGAGCAGTCACCTGCTCCCTAGTCAGCAACCCACCAGCCCAACATTCTGTCCACCACAGCAACCTTATATTATTATTTTTAAAATATATTTTATCAATTTTTTTACAGAGAGGAAGAGAGATAGAAACATTGATGAGAGCCGAAACCGGTTTGGCTCAGTGGATAAAGCATCAGCATGCGGACTGAAAAGTCCCAGGTTCGATTCCGGTCAAGGGCATGTACCTTGGTTGCGGGCACATCCCCAGTAGGGGGTGTGCAAGAGGCAGCTGATCAATGATTCTCTCTCATTGATGTTTCTAACTCTCTATCCCTCTCTCTTTCTCTCTGTAAAAATCAATAACATATGTTTTAAAAAAATATCGATGAGAGAGAAACATCGATCAGTTGTCTCCTGCACACTTCCTACTGGGAACGTGCCCACAACCAAGGTACATGTCCTTGATCGGAATCGAACCCGGGACTCTTGAGTCCACAGGCTGATGCTCTATCCACTGAGCCAAACGGGTTAGGGCATAGGATAGATATTATTATTAAAGTTGTTCCCATCTTACAGATGAGAAAGTCAAGGCTCAGGGGACTCAGGACTAGTCCACATTATTGAGTGTCAGCGCCAGGTGTGAGATCCGACCTGCCTGCTCCAAGTCCAGTGCTCTTTCCTGCCATGCACCCCTCTCTCGGGAGCTGCACGCACCAAGCAAACCCCGGTGTCAGGGTATGAGTGTGCAGTGAGCACATCCTGAGGGTGGGTGTGGACTCTGTAAAAGACTGGGTGGCCCTAGGTGGCCCCCCACAGCATAAGGCTCCACCCTGGACACCCTGCAGCCAGGCCCCTCCTCCCCCCCTCAGGCAGCCCGTGTCCGGGAGCAACATGCTGGGAGTTGCCTGGTGCAAGTCTCCCTTGCCGGGCATGAGCACCCCGACCTGCTGAGCCGAGCCCTACTCTGCGGGGAAGGACACACTTACTCTCGCGCCCCCGTGAGCAGGCGCCCAGTGAGCACTGTCCCAGGGCTACTTCCACTGTCCCAGGGTTTGTGTCCAGCTGGGCGAGACCTGAGACGGAACACGGACGAACTTCTCACAGTTATGCATTTATTTCCATGTAGAATAGGAAAAACACAGAACTAGCACATCAACAGGTGACTGCGTGGATATATTGTTTAGCACAAGACTAAAGCTGGGAGTAAAAAATAAAAAGTATGTTGATTTGAAGAGAATATTAAGGACAGGAGAGGATGCGAGGTCTTTGATCATGACCGTGAGGAGGTGGTGTGTGCAGCCCTGGAGTCTGGGACCCCCTCCTCCAGGCTTCATGCAGGAAGCTGGCTCAGCTCTGAAGCCCCCAAGAGGCTCACAGACAAGTGCTAGGAGCCGGGAGCCAGGAGCCAGGAGCCGGGGCGGCTTCACAGGAGCCTGTGGTGCATCCAGACCCCACGGAGCAAAGCACATCTTAACCTGCTCACGTCCTACAAAAACGCCTCTGCGTTACAAAGCAACAGAAGTGATTGTTCCTAAAAGGGAAGCAGGATCCTCTGGGCGTGGCCTCGAATAGGCAGTGGGTCAGGGCAGCCTGGAGGCAGGGTCCCAGTGGGACTTGGAGAGATAACCAAGGAGCTGCAGGGGCACCCCCCGCCCGGCACTGTCCTGAGGAGTGTGGGTGTGTGGGGTGCACAGCTCCGGTCAAGGCTGCAGGAAGGACAACCAGAGCACCTGTACCCTGCTCCCTGGCAAACAGGCGCCCGGTCAGCGTCAGCTGCCTCGCCCACAGGAGCCCCAGGCAGCAGGATGGGGTGTGGTCAACGTCCTTGGGTGTCAGCACACATCACCCTCTCCTCCTGCCCCTGTCCTAGTTCACGGCTGGGCCTGGGCCCCATGTCCCCCGGGGGGGGGGGGGGGGCGGGGGAATCCATGGCCACGCACTGTCGGGTCCCATCCTCGTACATTTATGAACAAATGGGAGACATTTCCTATTAAGATGTAACACCCCCCCCCCCAAAAAAAAAAAAATCCAAAGAATGTTTCCCATCATGTAAATTTTTTAAAAAGCGCTTTTTAAGGAACCTTAGAGTTTTACTCACACGGCCAGCAGAGGGCGCCCTCGTGCGTCTCTTTTCTGCAAGTGCCCCCTTCAGGGACATCTAAAGTGGCATTGCTTAGGGACCCAGGGTGCCGCCTGAAACTGGCCCCAACTCACTCCTGGAAACGGGGAGGTCAAGGCCGGCACACAAGAGCGGCCAGAGCCTCGGATGTGAGTACCCGGTGCGATGCTCGTGGCGTAGACGCCCCGCGCCCAGAGGGTGGAAGGAAGTGTGACCGTCCGAGGGGCACCGGGTGCAGCCACCCACCGCCGAGCTGGGAGGAGGGGGGCCGGGGCCGGCAGCTCAGCCCTGCATTCCAGACGCGACGGGCCGGTCCCCTGTAGGGGCTCGGGAGGAAACTGTGCAAGAGCAGGCCAGGAAGGGAAACTGAGTCGGGGAAGGGACCCCGACCCGGGGTAACCGTGGGTGCTCTCAGCAGCACCCCGCAGCGCTCCGCTTCACGTGGCACGGCTTGCAGAAGAGACGGTTGTTCAGCGGGTAGCAGCCTTGGTCCGTGGGCTCCACGGACAGGAGGATCCTGCAGTCCTGTGGGGACGAGAGACCGGCGGGTGGGCCCAGGCCGGAGGCGGCACGGGGCCTCCCCAGGGAGGACTCACCCCGCCCCTGCCCGGGAGATGCACGGAGCGACAGCCTCCTCCTTCCTGTCCCCCAGCACGCCTGGGCCGACGGGTCTCCGTCAGGGAGGACAAGGGGCTGTGAGTGATAAGAACAGCACCAATCGAGGCGACAGCTGAGGACACAGGGAGATGTCCTTGAGGGGTTACGGAAAGAGCTGGAAGGGGCTTAGGCACTACCCAGCAGCCCTTTAGGGTGTAACCTCTGCCAGGTAGTGATCCTACTTCCTGCTGGATCCCGCCCAGACCAGAGCCTGGCGCACCGAGCGCTCACCATAAACAGCTGCTGAGTGAGTAAGTACACCCAGTCCCTGCCTTCACCTCACAGGTGGGGAAACTGAGGCCCAGGGAGGGTGGGGCTTGCCTCAGGTCCCAGACTCAGGGTCCAGAGGGCTTTTCACCACTTCGCTTCCTGCACAGCTTCAGCACTGGCAGACACGTTAAAATCCCAATCTTTACCGAAACTGGTTTGGCTCAGTGGATAGAGCGTCGGCCTGCAGACTCAAAGGTCCCAGGTTTGATTCTAGTCAAGGGCATGTTCGTTGGTTGTGGGCACATTCCCAGTAGGGGGTGTGCAGGAGGCAGCTGGTTGATGATTCTCTCTCATCGATGTTTCTAGCTCTATATCCCTTTCCCTTCCTCTCTGTAAAAAAAAATCAGTAAAATATAATTTAAAAAATAAATAAAATTCCAATTTTTTAAATCACCTAAGGATGCCAGAGCAGGAAGATGGGCGTCTGGAGCCCAGCCTGCTCAGTCCACCCCTCTCGTAAGCCCCAACCTCATCCGAGCTGCACCAGGGCACATGCTGGGAGCAATAATGGGGACGAGGAATGCCCGCAGCCTCGGTCAGGGCTGGCTGACTTCCTCTGGAAGCTGCATTATCAGTTTGTCTCCACAGAGACAGCTTTGGGCACAGGGTGCCATTCGGACCCAGCAAGGCCAGCAGAGGGCGCCCTCGTGCGTCTCTTTTCTGCCATTGCACCTGGCGTCTCCCAAGGACTATTCAATGCCGGGAGCCTGGCTATTCCCGCCTGCCGCTGGTGTGGCATTCTGAGAGCATCAGTGCCAAAGGGCACACGTGACCTCTTCTAAATTAGACTCCAGTGAGGAAACATCTCCTCTGGGACCGAGTCACACGGCCCGGGAAGGAGCTGTGGGGCGGCAGACAGCGGGCTGGATTGGAACTTTTCTCAGCCTCCTAAATAGAGACAATAACTCCCATCTCACAGGATCGTCATAGTTGATTAAATAAGGCGATGTCCATAAAAATACTTTATGAATTAAAAAATATGACCCAGCCGAAACCGGTTTGGCTCAGTGGATAGAGCGTCGGCCTGTGGACTAAAAGGTCCCAGATTCTATTCCGGTCAAGGGCATGTACCTTGGTTGTACATCCCCAGTACATCCCCAGAGTACATCCCCAGTAGGGGGTGTGCAGGAGGCAGCTGATCGATGTTTCTCTCTCATTGATGTTTCTAACTCTCTATCCCTCTCTCTTCCTCTCTGTAAAAAAAAAATCAATAAAAAATATATATTTTTTTAAATAAAAAGAAATATGACCCAGCCACAAAAGTATTGTTCCCCTCCCAGCAATGGAAATAAGCAACGGGGACCACATTGGACAGGGCTGGCGAGAGGAATGGGCACAGAGAAATAGCACCCCGGTCAGCTCCAGGCCGCCATGGCTGAGCCTTCCCATTGGAGTCCACACTGAGGTTTTGCAGCAGCCGGGATGCCCTGCAGCCTTGGCCACGCTGACCAAGGCCATACAGGGAAGAGCTATATGCTCACTAACCGGGCGCTGGGAAATGTGAATCCTCCCTGGACCTTAGGAGTACTGTGGGGCGATAACAGCTCTCGACTTTCCTCATCCTTCCTTCAAGATGTGTTATCAGTGGGACTTTGGACTCTAAGCAGCAGAGACAACACGATGATGAAGCAACCTGTCAACTTCGGGACCAAGCCCCTTGGTCACACTCCATGCACACAGCCTCTCGGTCCCATTATCTGTGTGAGTCAGAATTCCTCACTGGCTGAGAAGAGGTTTGCCCTGGGGGCTCCCACTCAGGTGACACCCATAGAAGCTGCTACTGTTTTTGCCATCCCCAGAGACGACAGACACCTCAGGGACGTGGAGGTGACCGTGGGAGGTAGGGAGGACTCCTAGAGACTCCCAACAGGACGGACTATATCATCTGCAGGGCCCGGGGGGAGGGGGATGAAAATTTACACCCGTGTTCAAACATGAAGACGTCACGATGGGAACAGCAGAGCTTCAGCGTTTCTGAGTGGGGGCACGTCTCGCTGGGACGCCTGCACCAGCTTCTAGCCAGCCTTCTGCCTCAGCCCCATCCCTGCCTGCAGCCTGAGACCCAGACTCCTCAGCCTGGAGCGTGGGTCCTGTCCTGCTCCCTGACCACACCTCCCACACGCAGCACGCCAGACGCAGCCCGGAACTTCCACTTGCTGGATCCTTCGGGCCTGTTCATGCCAAAGTGGGTGTCCACAGGCCTGGCCTTTTTCTGGGCGTCCTTTTCTCTGAATATCTGACAGATGCTTATCCCACAAGACCCGCCGTACGCTGCACCTCTGCTACCACCACCCTGGTTAGACTCCATCGCTGCCTTTATAGTCCCCACTCTAATTTATTTATTTATTTATTTATGTGTTTTCAATTTTTTTAACATTTTTATTGATTTCAGAGAGGAAGGGAGAGGAAGAGATAGATAGAAACATCAATGATGAGAGAGAACCACTGATTGGCTTGCCTCCTGCATAACCCCTAGTGGGGATCCAGCCCACAACCCAGGAATCAAACTAGTGACCTTAGTTCATAGGTCAAAGCTCAACCACTGAGCAACACTGGTTGGGTTTTTATTGATTTTAGAGAGAGGGGATGGGAGATAGAGAGACAGAAACATTTGTGAGAGAGAAACATTAGTTGGCAGCCTCTTACCTTTTGGGGATCAAGCCTGTAACCCGGGTATGTGCCTGTAACCTGACCAGGAATTGAACCTATGACTTCTTGGTTCATGCGTCAAAACTCAACCACTGAGCCACCATAGCTGGGCCCATATTCCCTTTCTTGTGGAAAGCAGGTTTAGTTTCTATCATTAATCCAAAGAGTTTTGATTAATATTATAGACCCTATTTGTAACTACTTCCATTCTCAAAAACAAAACAAAACATATATATATATATATATAGATAGATAGATAGATAGATAGATATAGATATAGATATAGATAGATTTCAGAGAGGAAGGAAGAGAGTTAGAAACATCAATGATGACAGAGAATCATTGGTCGGCTTCCTTCTCCACACCCCCTACTGGGGATTGAGTCCACAATCCAGGCTGGAATCAAACCGGGGACCCTTTAGTCCGCAGGCCAACACTCTACTCACTGAGCCAAACCAGCTAGCGCTTATTTCCATCCTTATTTCTTCCTTTTTTTTTTTTTTATATTTTATTGATTTTTCACAGAGAGGAAGGGAGAGATATAGAGAGATAGAAACGTCAATGAGAGAGAAACATCGACCAGCTGCCTCTTGCACACCCCCTACTGGGGATGTGCCCGCAACTCAGGTACATGCCCTTGACCGGAATCGAACCCGGGACCCTTCAGTCCACAGACCAACGCTCTACCATGGAGCCAAACCGGTTTTCGGCCATCCTTATTTATTTCTGCTATTGGGCAGGGGGCCATTGGAGAGCCGAGCCAGACCCTGGCCTGTCCCAGCCCAGGGCCCGGGCGATGGCGACCGGAACTCGCAGCATCTTCAGTCACTGCTCTACTCACCTCGCACCTGTAGCAGTTCTCATGGAAGTTCCTTCCCATGCACTCGATCTTGAAGGCGTCCTTCCCGTCCCGGGGGATGATGGGATTCTCACAGATGCTGCACACAGGGGCGAATTTCCTAGAGGGAGAGGAGCCCACGCTGGCAGGAGCTCACACCAACCACAAAAATTAGCCTCCAGGACGGGGCTGGCTCTCACTCCGCTCCCGGCGCTATTTCAGACCTGCTGCTATGTGACTGCACCTGGAGTGCAACCGCAATCCCTATTTCTCCCGGCGGGAGCGGGAGGAGAGACGTAATTAGACCGGCTTCCCAGGGTGTAATTAGCTGAGGCAAGGACGTGACTGGGAACGTTAGCGCTGGAGAAAGCAGACTTCTCATGTGAGGTGGGGGTGTGGGTGGGGGACGGGCGGGGGCCCATTTCATTTGTCTTGTATTATAGGACGCTACTTTTCCTTCTCTCCTTTCTTTCTTCTATTTGTTTATTTACTTATTTAATAAATTTTATTGATTTTTTTTTTTTTTACAGAGAGGAAGGGAGAGTGATAGAGTCAGAAACATCGATTCAACTGCCTCCTGCACACCCTCTACTGGGGAATGTGCCCACAACCAAAGTACATGCCTTTGACCAGAATCGAACCTGGGACCCTTCAGTCCGCAGGTCTACGCTCCATTCACTGAGCCAAATTAATGTTGTTATGGATTTCAGAGAGAATAGGGAGAGAGAGAGAAACATCAATGATGAGAATCACTCATCAATTGCCTCTTGCACGCCCCCTACTGGGGATGGAGCCCGCAGGCCCAGCATGTGCCCTGACCGGGAATCGAACCCTAACCTCCTGGTTTATAGATTGACACTCAACCACTGAGCCACCTGCTGCTTCTTAGGACTCCAGCTCTGAGGGAGGCGCTGTGACCTGGAGGTTGAGGGAAGGCCCCAAATTCAGGTTGACAGGAGTTTGCTGCAGCTCCCATACTCCCCAGCTGGGAGGCCTTGGGCACTGCGGCATGCCTCAGTTTCCACATGTGGTGAAAAGGAACCCTAATAGTACCTGCCCCACAGGAAGGGATGAAAGTGTACTTCGTGGCCTGACTCAATTAAGCTTTCTTAACTTACTACCATATTAGTTTTGAGGATGAAATGGCCTAACTCAATGGTCGGCAAACTGCGGCTCCTGAGCCACACGCGGCTCTTTGGCCCCTTGCGTGTTCTAACGCCACTTCTTCAAAATAGACTCGCCCGGGCCGAAAACTGACTTCTGTGCATGGGCCATGAGGTTTCAGTCGCACTGTATGTGCGCGCCCGCACGTGGTATTTTGTGGAAGATTTGGCTACACTCAAGGGGCTGAAGAGCCGCATGTGGCTCGTGAGCCGCAGTTTGCCGACCCCTGGCCTAACCCAAGTGCAGTGCCCAGCACAGTGTAGGTGCTCAAAAAGGTAGCTGCAGCCCTGGCTGGTGTGGTCCCGGGTTCGATTCTGGTCAGAGGATTGTGAGCTCTATCCCCAGAGGGGGGCGTGCAGGAGGCAGCTTTTCGATGATTCTCTCTCATCAATGATCTTTCTCTCTCTCTCTCTTTCCCTCTCCCTTCCTCTCTAAAATCAATAAAAATATATTTTTATAAAAGGTAGCTGCAATCAGCCGAAACCGGTTTGGCTCAGTGGATAGAGCGTCGGCCTGAGGACTGAAGGGTCCCGGGTTTGATTCCGGTCAGGGGCATGTACCTTGGTTGCGGGCACATCGCCAGTGGGGGGTGTGCAGGAGGCAGCTGATCGATGTTTCTCTCTCACTGATGTTTCTGGCTCTCTATCTCTCTCCCCTCCTCTCTGTAAAAAAATCAATAAAATATAAAAAATAAAAGGTAGCTGCAATCCGGTACCTGGCTAGATAGAGGGTGTGGAACAGGCAGACCCGGTTTCTGCAGGAAACCCAGGACACAGGCCCAGCTCTGTGGTTCCGCCCGAGTCCCACCCTGTCCTCCCTGCCCGGCCAGAGCCCAGAGCGCCCTCGCACGCACCGATAGAAGTCGTCCAGGCAGTACACCTCGTTCTGGCTGTCCAGGGCGAAGTTCTCATCCCCGATGCACCGGGCACAGGCCACGCACGTGAAGCAGGCCGGGTGGAAGGCCCGGCCCAGGGCCCGGATGATGTGTTCTCGGACCACCTCGCCGCACCTGCCGCACTTCTCCAGGGTGTCCTGGGGCAGAGGGCCCGGCCTCAGAGCCATGCCACCCGCGTGCCCGCTGCACCCCACAGGGGCTTCGCACCCGCTCTGAGGCTGACCCAGGAGGCCGGGGGTACAGGAGAGGAAGCTCAGATCCATGCGAGTGACCTCACTACTGCCCCACACCTCCACTGCTCCCTGAAATGGACCACGCCTGGCCTGGTGCCTGGCTTACAGAGAGGAATCCTGCCACGAGGCGAGGGCTGCGTGTTTTGTTGTTAGGAAATGCCGAGGCCAGTGTCCACGAGGACCCACAGGAGAAACTTCTCTTCAACCTCAGAGGCAGGGAAAGGAGTGCCGAGAGAAACTGGTGACAATGAACCTTGAACCGCTTTCCCTTTTCCCTTTGGCCACCCGGAAGCTCAGCCAAATCCCATGCTCCACTTTTAGGAACAGCTGTTGGGGTCTTTTATGCATATATGCAGGTCACCAGGTGCTGCCAATTCAGGACAAGGAAGGCCTCCGGATATCCAGGTGAGGTGTCTGTGCGTGGTGTGCACCCCACACCCCACCGCGGAGCCAGCAATTCCAGTACCTTGGCTCCCAAACCAGCGCTCCCAGACTGTATCCGGTACCCAGAGGTGACCCAGACTCCATCTTTACATCTGCATCAGAACCCCATGGCTCTAGGTAAAGAGCGGCAAGACCACAGGCGGGCCCCAGGGCCAGATGGGCCTGGGGTAGAACCCCAGCTCCACCAGCGTCGGGAGTGTGACCCAGTGCGAGAGGTGAGTGACAACCCCAAAGACAGCCAGGTCTTCGCCCCGGAACCTGTGACTACCTCGCATGGCAATGTGACCGAGGTGAGGCCCCATCGGCGTCATCCAGATGGACCCTACCAGCCATGAAGTCCCTGTGAGCGGAGCCCGAGGGAGATCTGACACAGGAAATAGGATACTGAAGCAAGACGCCTCCCTGCTGACTTTGAAAGTGGACAAAGGAACCGAGGAATGCAAGGAATGCCAAGTTGGCCGAGGCTGGAAAGGGCCAGGAAATGGATTCTCCCCTAGAGTTTTGGGTGGATGTGGGGGTAGAGTTCAACGCTTTGGTTCTGACTCAGTAAAACAGATTGTGGACTTCTGACCTCTGGAACGGTAACAGGGTACCTGTGTGCTGTTTGGCGTCACCAAGTTTGTGGTAACGTGACATGAGTCACAGGAAAGGAATACGCCTCGGCTGAGCTCCTCCCCGCTCTCTGAGCCTCAGCTTCCTCATCTGTGAAATGCGTCAGTAGTGCCTACCGCCCAGGGTTGTTGTGAATGAAATAATATACACTGAGTGGCAGATTATTATGATCTCTGAATGCATAATAATCTGGCCACTCTGTATGTGTGTGTGTGTGTGTGTGTGTGTGTGTATGTATATATACTAGTAGCCTGTGGCAGGAAGATTCCTGCAATAGGGCTTCCTGCTGCGGTCTCCCCACCCCGCCTGCATGCTTCTCTGCAGCTTCACTCCCTTCTGCAGCGCCTGGCTTCTTTCTATGCAAATTAAGCACCATCTTGGGTGGGTTGATTTGCATACTTGCCCTGATTGGCTGGTGGGTGTGATTTGGGCATAGCGGATGTGTGGTCAATTTGCATATTACTATTTTATTAGGTAGGAGATATATATTAATTAGAGGCCTGGTGCATGAATTCATGCATGGGTGGGGTCCAGCCATCCTGGCCAGGGGAAGGGGACATGGGCAGTTGACCGGCCTGCCTGCTGGTTGAACTCCTGGTAGAGGGGACAATTTACATATTAGCCTTTTATTATATAGGATATACATTAAGCAATCAGAGATCATAATAACCTAGCCACTCAGGGTAACATCTCCCAAGCACCCGGCTCAGTGCCTGGCACCTGGGGAGCTGCTGTGTGTGTGCGGGGAGGCGGGGAGGAGAAGGAGGTTACCTGGTAGCAGGGTTCACAGAGGGGCCTCCCATCCTTCTGGTAGAAGCTCTGCCCGGCCAGCTGGCGGCGGCAGGTGCGGCATGTGAAGCACTGGGCGTGGTACTGCCTCTTCATGGCTTCCACAGCCAGCTCTCGGGGTGACACGGTCTTGTGGCAAAAGGCACAGACGTCTGGGGTAGGAGAGACACAGGCCATGACGTGCCCAGCCTGGGGACACTGTGCCCGGTCACCACCCAGCGTGCCAGGTTTCTGCCTTGAGCCCCAGGGGCCCCAGTGTGACCTGGTTTCCTGGGGAGGGTCATGAGGATCAACAGAAAGCAATATGGCCCAAATCAGTTTGGCTCAGTGGATAGAGCGTCGGCCTGCGGACTGAAAGGTCCCAGGTTCGATTCCAGTCAAGGGCATGTGCCTTGGTTGTGGGCACGTCCCCAGTAGGGGGTGTGCAGGAGGCAACTGATCGATGTTTCCCTCTCATTGATGTTTCTAGCTCTCTATCCCTCTCCCTTCCTCTCTGTAAAAAAATCAATAAAATGTATTAAAAAAAAAAGAAAGAAAGAAAGAAAGAAAGAAGAAAGAAAGAAAGAAAGAAAGAAAGAAAGAAAGAAAGAAAGAAAGAAAGAAAGAAAGAAAGAACAAGCAAGCAAGCAAGCAACATGAAGGGCCTTTGGAGAGAGATGCAGTGTCAGGACAGCTGGGTTATCATCGGCAAAAAAATTAACGTGTGGGGAGGCCTCCCTCACGACACCTCACACCCAGATCATTCCAGATGTGCGGAGGAAGTGGAAAACGAGACCAAGAACGCTGGAAGAAGGAAACCAGAGGAGAAGTGGTGTAGAACCTTGGTGTGGCGAAGGCCTTTGGTACATGGTAAGCACTGAACACTGTTTACAGAGTGAACTCCACATGGTGCCGGAGAGGCTGCAGGACGAGGTCATGCAGACCTGCCGGCGGAGCGTAGACTGGGCCGACCATGAAGCGCAATTTGACAAAAATATCCAAGTTAGAAATGCACCCCCCTCTGGCCACAGAACTTTCTCTTCCAGGAATTGATTTCACAAACGTTCACACAGGCAAAATGACCCATGTGCAGGACAATGCATCTCGGCCTAATTTTTCACAGCAAGAAGCCACCTCGGCGCCTGCTCATTGGCAACTGGGTCAATGCACACAGTAGGGCCACAGCTGAGAAAAAGAGCAAGGAGCTTCGCTATGTTCTGATGTGGAATGAGCTCGAAGATGCCCGAAGGAAAGAACGTGCAGAGCAGCGTGGAGTTTGCTCTCATTTGTGGGAAAATTGGGGGGAGAGGGAGGGGGGCGGGGGAGGAGTTTGCTCACATACACATGAAAGACAGCTGGGAGACGGTGTTAACCGCAGAGGCTGTCGGGAAGGAAACAGGGTGATGCGGGGATGGGGCCGAGGGACGAGTGCACCGCGTCCCCTTGGTGCTTTCTATTTTGTCCGAGGGGAGGGTGTTCTGTACTCAAACAATTAAAGAGCGAAAAAAATTCAAGGTGTTTCTGCTCTCAGAGCAAATCTGGTGATCCATGTTAAGCGGGTTTTAGTGCTAAAGGAGAATCAGTTCAGGCAATAAAGAAATTCAATATAAGGCCCTCAGTGAGCTGGGGAAGACACCCGTGGTCCTGCTGTCCTAGTTCCCACATGGAAGCCCAGGCCAGCCCCTGAGGGCCCCGGGGACCCCCCTGAGGGCCCCCCAGGACCCCCCAGCCCTGTGCCCTTACCGGTGGACGCCTCTCTCTCCGGGAAGCCAATTGGCTCCTCTGGGGGCGGCGGCAGCTCCTCCTCGGCGGGCCTGAGTCGACTGGCCCCGGGCTGGGACGGAGGCCCCTCTGCCGGGGCCTGTGGGGACACAGGGGGTGGGGGCGGAGAGAAGTCACCCAGGGGGACCCCACCCGCCCTCTCAGTTTCGCTCCTGATCTGGTGGCTCCCGGCACAAGGAGCCCCATGGAGCAGAGGAGGACGCCGAGGCCCAGAGGAGCAGTGACCCTGCTCAGGTCGCTCGCAGGAAGGCTGCAGTGGCGGCGGAGCCCAGGGCCCCTGACCAGTGAAGCCACTTCCTTCTCCTCCTAAGGAAGCTCCTGGAAGCAGGGTTTTCCTTGCCCGGAGCCCCCCGCCCACTTCTGTTAAAGGCGGAGGATTGAACACCGGTTTCACCTGTGCGGAACCTCAGGGAGGCGGGGAGGGAGGAAGGTGATCAACCAAAGGCCTGTGTGCACATGTGCACGGCCCACGGCCAGACAGCAGGTGCTGGAGGCCTGGAGGGGTTCTGGGTGGTCCCCAGGGGGACGGGAGCGGGCTGGAGGGGTCAATGGGCGGGGTCACATATGTAATACTTTCAACAATAAAGAATTATACAAAAAATTGCCGAAACCGGTTTGGCTCAGAGGTAGAGTGTCGGTCTGCGGACTGAAAGGTCCCAGGTTTGATTCCGGTCAGGGGCATGTAGATTGGTTGCGGGCACATCCCCAGTAGGGGGTGTGCAAGAGGCAGCTGGTCGGTCTTTCTCTCTCATCGACGTTTCTAGCTCTCTATCTCTCTCCCTTCCTCTCTGTAAAAAAATCAATAAAAATATACTTAAAAAAAAAAGAAAAAGAATTATACAAAAAATGAAAGTGGGCTTCAGCCCAGCCAGGTGTGGCTCAGCAGTGAGCGTCCACTCAGGAATCAGGTCACCAGTTTGATTCCCTGTTGGGGCATATGCCTAAGTTGTAGGTTCAGTCCCCAGTGGGGGTGTGCAGGAGGCAGCCAATCAATGACTATCACTACTCATTGATGTTTTTACCTCGCTCCTCCCTTCCTCTCTGAAATTATTCATATATATATATATATATATATAATTATTTTTTAATATATATATTTTTATTTCTTACAGAGAGGAAGGGAAAGGGATAGAGAATTAGAAACATCTATGAGAAAAACATCGACCAGCTGCCCCCTGCACACCCCCTACTGGGGATGTGCCTGCAACCAAGGTATATGCCCTTAACCGGAATCGAACCTGGGACCTTTCAGTCCGAGGACCAACACTGAGCCAAACCGGTTTCGGCATATATATATATATTATATATATTAAATGGGCTTCATATCTAGCATAAAGGATGATGTGGGTTAGACCCAGGGGAACGTCTCAGAGCTGAAGGGGGGGCTGGAGGGGAAAAGGGGTGCACAATCAGTTTTACAGCCTCAAACAGCTTCAGAGAGGGACTGCCCTCAAACAGGAGAACGGACCGACCTCCAGGCTTAAACGCCCTAAAGGCCCAGAAAGCTCACACCCTCCCTCCCTGGCCCGTGGGGCTCCGCCGGTGATCAGGGGTTGGCCTACCTGTGATGGGGGTGGGGGTGGGGGCAGGTGTAGCTGCTCGAAGTCAGAGATGAGCTCAGACCCCGGGGCTGGCGGCTCCTCGTCAGGGGGCGGCGGGTATGCTGGTGGGGGCGGCGGCGGGAGCAGATCCAGGTCCTGGAGAGAGTCCTCGCCGTCCCGGGGAGGAGGCGGGAGAGAGCGGCCTGCAAGCGAAGGGGGAGTCTTACAGCGTGCAGGCTGAGGGCTCAGGTCCAGGGCACCCCGGCCTGGGGGCGTGCAGGCTGAGGGCTCAGGTCCAGGGCACCGCGGCCTGGGGGCGTGCAGGCTGAGGGCTCAGGTCCAGGGTACCCCGGCCTGGGGGCGTGCAGGCTGAGGGCTCAGGTCCAGGGCACCCCGGCCTGGGGGCGTGCAGGCTGAGGGCTCAGGTCCAGGGCACCCCGGCCTGGGGGCGTGCAGGCTGAGGGCTCAGGTCCAGGGCACCTCGGCCTGGGGGCGTGCAGGCTGAGGGCTCAGGTCCAGGGCACCCCGGCCTGGGGTCCATCTCTGACTCCGCCACTGGCTGGATGCGATGTGTCCTCCGGCAGAAGACAGTCTCTCGGGGTCTCAGTTTGCTCAGCTGGGAAATGGGTATCAGCTGCCCAGGTGGTTATGAAAACGATGAGCTGATGCAGGCAAGGGCTTGGCACGTGGCACAGGCTGAGGACAGCAGCTGTCAAAGCAGCGCCCCCCCTCCCCTCCCCGCAACCTGGGTGCGAGTGTGACTCAAATCCCTGTGAGAAAGCCCTTGTGGGGATATAAGCAACACCAGCCCCGAAGGCTGTGGTTCTCACACTGGCTCCTGGACCAGCAGCACCTGGGGCAGCGAGGCTCACACCCACACTGTAGCTTCCCTCCTGACCCCACTGGCGAGGAGAAAGGGAGAGATCTTTAGAATTAAGAGACGTTAGAGGAAAGGACCACATATAGTGTGTACACTTGTCCTGTCCTATAAGGTTGCCTTCAGCCACAGGTGGCGATGGGCTGAGGGACTCAGGACAGAATGTAAACTACCTCTTCATCACCTTCACGATGATCCCACGCTGAAATGACAATCTTTGTATATTGAGTTACATAACATCTATTATGAAAAGTACTATCACTCAATTCTTCTACTTTTTTTCCAACATGGATCCTAGAAAAAATTTAAATTACGTCCGATGCTTACATTCGTAATTCACAATATATTAGTCTATATATTTTAAAAAATATTTTTATTTTAAAAAATTTTAAAGAGAAAGAAAAAATATATTTTTATTGATTTCACAGAGGAAAGAAGAGGGAGAGATGGAAACATCAATGATGAGAGAGAATTATTGATTGGCTGCCTCCTGCACGCCCTACACTGGGGAGTGAACCCACAACCAGGGCACGTGCCCCGACCGGGAATGAAACCATGACCTCCAGGTTCACAGGTCAAAGCTCATCCCTTGAGCCACACCGGCCGGGCACACGTTATTTTTACGGGACAGCATTTGTACAGAGATCTTGTTGGGTCCTGATTCAAAGCATGAACTCTCATTTAATTCTCATTTTGCAGGCGAGGAAAAGCTAAAAATCCCACGACATGATCCAGCTCAAAAGGAAGGCAAGATGCCGTGTAACGCCTTCCTTCCACTACAGTCCCACAACAAAAGGGCATTTTATGACAATCCGGGCAAATTAATGATGGGTGGTGTACTAGGTAATCAGAGGCATTCTTGCCGATTTTGTTTGGCTTCGTGATTACGATTAAAAAAAAAAAAAAAAAAGCCGCATCCTGAAGAGTGGGGGCTGAAATGACCTGCTAACTGGAGTTTCCTCTAAAATACTTCGGAAAAGGAGAGAAAGGGACCGATATGGCAAAAACGGCAAAGTCTTAGCACTTGTTGAAACAGGATGTGGAGTGCACAGGGTTCCTTGTACTGCTCTCTCCACCTCTGTGCATGTTTGAAAGTCTCATCAAACACGCACACACACCCTAACCAACGGCAAACACACGGACACACGGGACAGGAGTGGCATGGGGGCGTGGTCCTCAGTCCATGGCACAGCCTTTCCCGGGCTCCTGGCAGAGAGGGAGGAGGGGCTGGCAGATCACGGAACTCCCGTCTCAGTCCCAGGTCCTCCCGACTCCCAGGAACTCCCACCCTCCAAGCCACCCTGAAGAGGAGACCGGCCCAGGAGGGCAGCTGTGGTGTGGGGCCGCTGGACATGCCCATGAAGATCCTGCCACTGCCTACAGGGTGAGAACTAGGAAGTGTCCCGGCCCTGACGGTGAGGCTCAGCCGATCGGAGCATCATCCATCTCACACACCGAAAAGTGGCAGGTTCAATTCTGGGTCAGGGCACACTCCCAGGCTGCTGTTCAATCCCCAGCCGGGGTGCAAAGGCAACCGATCCATCTCTCTCTCTGTCTGTCTGTCTCTTCTTTTCTCTTACAAAAAAAAAAAAAAGTGGCCCTAGCTGGTTTGGCTCAGTGGATAGAGCATTGGCCTGCAGACTGAAGGTCCCAGCTTTGATTCTGACCAAGGGCACATGCCTGGGGTGTGGCTTGATCCCCAATGGGGATGTGTAGGAGGCAGCGGATCAATGATTCTCTCTCATCATTGATGTTCCTCTCTCCCCCTTCCTCTCTGAAATCAATAAAAATATTTTTTAATGCCCTAGTTCCGTGGTTGGCAAACTGCGGTTCTCGAGCCACATGTGGCTTGCGAGCCTCAGTTTGCCGCTCTGTTGACTAATGAGTTTGCCAACCACTGTCCTATACTACCCTTTACTTCTTTGCACATAATAAGCCACAACTGCCTAATCCTCACAGCTTCCAACCACACGGTAACATTCAGTCTAGTCCAATGGTTGGCAAACTCATTAGTCAACAGAGCAGTAAACCGCAGCTCGGGAGCCGCATGTGGCTGATGGGCCACAGTTTGCTGACCACTGCCCGAGCTGGTTTGGCTCAGTGGATAGAGCATCGGCCTGCAGACAAGCGTCCTGGGTTCCATTCCAGTTAAGGGCACATGGCCATGTTGTGCGCTTGACCCCCCAGTAGGGGGCGTGCAGGAGGCAGCTGATCAATTATTCTCATCATTTGATGTTTCTCTTGCTCTCCCTCTGAAATCAATAAAAATATATATATTAAAAAAGTCCTGGGAGAAGGGACGCGAAGGCACTCCACCCACTTCCCGTCTCAGAGGCACAAGGTAGGCCAGCCCCAGCGAGGCGGGCCGCCCTGTGCCCTGCCTGAGACACTCACGGAAAAGAGGGAAAGTGCCCAGGGCGCTGCCTGCCCGTAAAGACCTGGGTTTGGGCCATTCTCTGCCGATTCACTGGCTCCCCTCCCGGCTCCAGGTTTCCATCCACTGGATGTAGATAATGAAGCCCTCTCCTTTGTCCCAGGGGCTGAGGGACTGGTCAAAGGGGAAGCTCGTTCCAGCCCCGTGAGCACCCTGCTACAGACTCAGGGGGGCTTGTTCCACTGCAGGGGGCCGGGCGTCACCCCGGAGCTCCGGACCCAGCAGGTGAGGGGTCCGCTCCCAGAGTCACATCCTGCAGAGCTCCCCAGGCTGCCGGTTCGAGGCCACACTCAGACCTGCTCTTCCAGCCCCCACGTCTCACCTGCTTCAAACCACAGTTCTCCAAGTGCGGCCCCTGAGCAGAGCTCAGCATTACCTGGAAACGTGTAAGAAATGTAAATTCCTGGGCCCCACGGCAGACCTGCTGAGTCAGAGCCACCCACCTGCTGAGTCAGAGCCACCCGGGTGGGGCCCGGCGGCTGCTGGAACAGGCCCCGGGGAGGCTGAGGTTGCTAAAGTGTGAGAGCCTTGAGCGGGCCTGACGTGAGCTGACCTGACGTGAGCTGGTGAGCTGACCCGAGGTGAGTCAGCAGCGGGAGCTGGATGGGAGACTCAGCAGGAATGCCGAAGCCCCTCCCAGGACCTGCCTCAGGTTCCAGACAACAGGCCAGGAAGTGGACAGTCCTGGCGGGGCAGGAATGCAGCAGAGGCCCCGAGGCCCAGCGCAGGAGTGCAGGAAGGGGGCAGAGAGCAGGAGGAGGGGCAGCAGCCTTTCTAAGAGAAGCCCAGAGGGAAACGGGCTCAGGAATAGGAGTCTCAGGAGGGAAGGAGGGAGGGTGGGGCTCGTCAGGATGAAAGGGCTGCAGAAAGGCGGGCGGATTCCTGCGGGGACACCAGATGACTGCCTCTGTGGACGTGGCTGGAAGCAGCTCGCAGCCCTAGTCAGACCCGACTCATGACCAAGCTGCTCCCTTAGAACTTCCCTCACACCTGTCAGGCTGAACCCCAAGGCCACCCAACCAGCAAACACGGTGGCTGAGGAGTCCCTGGGAACCCCCCTCCCCCCCGCCCCACACCCCCCTTCCCCCTCCTCCGCTACCAACTCCTCCCTTCCTGGGGGAGGCCTGGTTTTGTTGTCACACTCCCGGGATCTTCTCCCTGTAATCCCCATAACCCATGGGAATGTTCAGGAAAATGTGGCATCTAAGGGATCTTTCTGTCTTTCTTAATCCTCACCCGAGAATATCTTCCCACTGATTTTTTAGAGAGAGTGGAAGGGAGAGGGAGAGACAGAGAGAAACATTGATGTGAGAGAGACACATCGAGCCTGTGACTGAGGTGCGTGCCCTTGACTGAAACCCAGGACGCTTCCGTCTGCAGGCCAACACTCTATAAATTATATTTCTTTCTTTTTTAAAAAATATATATTTTATTGATTTTTTACAGAAAGGGAGAGTTAGAGAGAGATAGTTAGAAACATCGATGAGAGAGAAACATCAACCAGTCGCCCCCTGCACACCCCCCACTGGGGATGTGCCCGCAACCAAGGTACATGCCCTTGACGGAATCGAACCTGGGACCTTTCAGTCCACAGACCGATGCTCTATCCACTGAGCCAAACCGGATTCGGCAGAATTATATTTCTGGAGCTCCCTCTCCTACCCATAAGGGATATATATATATTTTTCCCATTGGATCACATGTCCTGATGCGTGCATCTGGGTCACCAAGGTCCTGGTTCTGCTAATAGGAGACAAGGCTGTGTGGTCAGGCTGTGTGGTTGGGATGGAAAGATCAGTGCAGGAGGCTGCATCCCAGTGAAGACACATGCTACATGGATGTCCACGTACTCCCATGTGTGTGCTCGTGTGGCCCCTTCTCTCGCCCTTTTCTGGCCTCCTGTAATTGGCACTTCCTATTGGTCTCTGCGTGGTTTCCATGGTGACGGCTGCCCAGGATGCCTGGCTAGGCACTGGGGGATCCTGAGGGGCTCAGCTGCCCCCCTGGGAAATGGAAACGACACCTCCTTGTTCCAGCTGGTGCCCTGACCGCGAAGGAGCCGCCCCTCCCTCTTCCCTCCTCACCTCGGGCCTCGGCTTGTCATCATCGCTGCTGCCAGGGCAGCTCAGGCCGGGCACGGAGGAAAAAGACGGTCATTTACCAAGCACCCGCTCTGCGATGGACGCGTCACATACACGACCAGTTTTCATTTTCCAGAAAAGGACACCAAGCGGGGAGATAGCTTGTCTAAGATCACACAGCAGGAGAACAGCAGAGCCCTAACCGGTTTGGCTCAGTGGATAGAACTCAAGAGTCCCAGGTTCGATTCCGCTCAAGGGCATGTACCTTGGTTTTGGGCACATCCCCAGTAGGAGGTGTGCAGGAGGCAGCTGATCGATGTTTCTCTCTCATCGATGTTTCTAACTCTCTATCTCTCTCTCTCTTCCTCTCTGTAAAAAAATCAATAAAATATATTTAGAGAGAGAGATGAGAAAGAGAGAACAGCAGAGGCCCAGAGAACATCCTCACCTTTCAGATCCTCCGGCCTGCCAAACCCATCCCTGCTCAGGGCCTTGGCACTTGCTGTCCCCACTGTCCTTCAAGCTCTCCTCTCCCCGCCCGCCCCCCCAAACCCTCACTCCACCCTGTCACTCAGGCCTTAGCTAAATAGCACCTCCTTGGAGACTCCATTCTGACCACCCCGTAAAAAACTACACCTCCTCACCTCTTCACGTGTTTTATTCCTTTCTAGCACTTGCGTTTTTATGATCTGTGTTCCCCACTAGGACTTAAAGAGCTTCATGCTCGCTGACAGCTTGGTCTCTTTATTCATGTCCCCAAGGGTCTGGCCCAGAATAGTAACAACAGCTAACGCTCTTTTAATATCTGACACTTTCTATGTGACAGGTGATGGGCTAAACGTATGTATCAGCTCAGCTAGTCCTCACAACAAGCCTGTGAGGGAGACGCTGTCACATCCCTGTTTCACAGGCAGGGAGCTGGGGAAGAGAGATTTAGTGGCTCGCTGACTTCACATCCCAAGCAGTGGAGCAGCCAGGATGCAAACCCAGGCAGAGGGGTTTCAGAGTCTGCCTGGCACATAGTAGGTGCCCGATGAATGAATGAATGATCTCAGAGCCTGCCCTCTCCCCCATGTCAGTGCACCTGTGACCGGATCCCCTCCGGTCCAGGCCTCCGGTCTTACCTCCATTGGACAGCGGAGCGGGGGCAGCTGGCACCGAGGCGGCGGCCCTGCTGGCCGGTGTCCAGGGGCTGGGCCTCCCCGCCGGGCCGGCTCCAATGGCCTTCGTGGCGGCGGGCGGCTCCCAGGGGCGGCCGGGCCGGGCCTCGCAGGCTGCCCGCCTCACGTCCTCAGCCACGGCCTCACCGCGACGTGGGGGGGCCAGGGTGATGAAGACGGACGAGGCGACCCGCTTCTCGGGCTGGGAGGCCATCGCCTCGCTCCGGGAGCAGGGCTGGGGGGGGGGGGGGGTGGAACGTGGGCTCAGGGCACAGGCACCTCCACCTGGACACGGACCCCTCCCTGGGGCCTTTCTCCCCCAGCAGGATGGCCGGCCACCCCAGTGCACCAGGCAGCCCAGGCACCAGCCAGCCCAGCCGGCTAAGGAGGGGCCGGGATGTCCTTGGGGGAGGGCTGGCGTTCACCAGGTGACGCGGCTACAGGGTGGGACCCAACAGTCTCCACTGCCCCTCCCCCGAACCTACACATCTGGGGGGCAAAGGGCAGCCCTGCCCTGCTCACTCAGGATGACTCATTTTCCTCCAATGAGAAGTGAGGAGGCAGCAGCTCCTCAGGCTGACAGCCTCCCTACCCCGGGCCACCCCCCAGGTTACCGCCCTCTCGGGGGTTCCCCAAGGCCCAGGCCTCCCTGCCCCGGGCCACCCCCCAGGTTACCGCCCTCCCCGGGGATCCCCAAGGCCCAGCCAGCTCCTCTGGGGGAGGGAGCCGGCCTGACCCGCTCAGAGCACCAGGGCTGGTCCCCAGAGGGCAGGGACAGAACCATCGGACCGAGACCCACTCTGCCTTAAGCGCTTCTGCCCATTCACTCATCAATCCCCCCAGCTGCTGGGGGAGGGACACTGCTGCGAACCCCGAACCCCACCACCGGCGAGGAGCCCTGCCTTCCACCTGGAGGTGAAGAGTCACCTGTTCAGGGACTGCAGAGGCAGAACCTGGACTTGAACCCAGAGCCCATGTTCTTGGCCACTTGGCTCCGCTGCCCTCTCCGGCCCAACCCACAAGCCAGCACCCTCTTCCCCACCTGCAGCCCCCGTATTCGGTCAAAGCCTGATTCTGCCGCTGGACTCACAGCGCCCTGTCCCACTCCCAACACAGCAGGTGCCCCTGGAGTAACCGTTCCAGCGTGTGAGGCTGTTACTCCTCAACCCAAAAGCCTTCCGTGGCTCCCTGCCACCTTGGAGACAAAGCCCCCGATCCCCCTGGCCTCAACCTCTTTTGACCACCTGGACCACTCCCCCTTCCTCGACTCTCTCCTTCCCCGCCCGGCAGTGTGTCCCCGCCACAAGGTGATTCCCGGTTTCCTCCGAGGCCCCGCTCAAACCTCCCCTCCCCCGGGACAGCTGTCTGCTCCCACAGGGCGCCAGCCCATCACCCGCACGCTGGCTCCCTGTCCCCACGCCCGTCCCGCCCCGTCCCGTCCCTACGTGACCGCAGTGCCATCCACCGAGTCCGCGCCCGGCATAGGCACCAAAGCACGGACCTGGGAGCAGGCGGCACCCGACTGGGGGAGCCCACGTTCCATTTCTCAGGGGGTTTCTGCAGACAGTGGCCTCCGCGGCCCAGGCTGAGCTGAGACCCTAGGCTGGCAAATCAACCACCCCGCTCCCGGGCTGCACTTGGCACCGTGGGGGAACGTGCCGTCTGTCTGTCTGTCTGTCTCTCTCTCTCTCTCTCTCTCTCCAGCTGGGTCACCCTGACAAGGCCTCAAAGCCCAGCCCACAGGTTCGTGGGGAGGAGAGAAAACGGGGGCCCAGAGAGCAAACTTGGAGAAGAGAAGTGGGAAGTGGGGCTGGGTGGGCAGGGCATGGGCATCAAGAAGCCCTAATGGCGGCCTTGGAGCCCAAGGGGCCACCCAAAGGCCTCCCTCAGCATAGCGTCCAGCTGGCCACTGTTGGCCATCCTGGCGCCTGACATAACGAAAACAACACCGTATGCTCCCAAATTCCTCGTAAACTGGCTTACGTATTTGGTTAAAATGTATCGATCAGCCGAAACCGGTTTGGCTCAGTGGATAGAGCGTCGGCCTGCAGACTGAAGGGTCCCGGGTTCAATTCTGGGCAAGGGCATGTACCTTGGTTGCGGGCACATCCCCAGTGTGGGGTGTACAGGAGGCAGCTGATCGATGATTTTCTCTCATCGATGTTTCTAGCTCTCTTTCCTTCTCTCCTTTCCTCTCTGTAAAAAAAATCAATAAAATATATTTAAAAAAAAAATGTATCGATCAGCCTGACAATGACACATCTGTCCCTAAAAGGAAGCCAGCGCATGAAGAAACCTTCAAACGTTCTTTCAAGTGCCTCTCTTTTGCTTCTTGCTCTGTATGAGCTGCTGGGGAGCGTATACGCTTATAGTGGCTGTCAGGGTCTTGGCTTTTATACTTTTCTACAAACCCACTATCTATGTTTATAAACAACTTCCAGAGGGCATCTGAGGTTTCCACCCAAGAAATGAGAACAAGGGCGCCGGCGGATAAAGTGCCCGCTGTGTGCCAGCCCCTGTGCCCAGTGCCCTCTGTGCCTCACCTCACCCAGTTCTCACACATCCATCCCAGCTGTCCGTCCGCCCCCCCCCCGCTGTGCAGATGGGCCGGCGAGGCCCCGGAGGGTGAGTGGCCTTCCCAAGCACCAGGGGCAGACTCAGAATCCAACAGCCCACCCTCCGACTGAGTCCTTGGCCTGACACGCCCTTTGCCCTTTTCTTTCCTGGGCGTCACGGGGCCCCCAAACTCTCAGGCCCGTTCTCACCCCAGAATGGCCCAACCCGGACCAATTGTCTTGAGGCCAGTGCCTTCGGGGCTGTCCCAAAGCCCGCTGAGGCCGCCCTCTGCCTCCTTCCCACCCTGCTCTGACCACCACTCCACCCCAGGAAGCTGGATCTGCTGGTTTCTCAGAAATCATCTAAGGCTTATGTCCTCCCGAGGCCAGATGTTCACAGCTGGGCACTCCCCCTCCCACACACACACACACACACACACACACACACACTCTGCGGTTTCTGCAGGGACTCTAGGCCCCAGGGGAGGGGGCCCAGCTGGGGAATTGCAAAGCCAGGGCAACGGGGCCAGCCAGGCCCCAGTAGAGGCTCCCTCTGCTCCAGTCCCTCGGCCCCAGCTCGCCCTCGGCGGGGTGTGTGTGTGTGTGTGTGTGTTACCTGTGTGAAAGCTCCCTGTGGGCAGTGTCCCAGCCAGCTGCCCAGAGACCCTCTACGCCACCCTCCCTCTCGGCAGAGATCCAGTTGGGTAAGCGGAGAAAGTGGGAACAAAGGGGAGGAAAGTCATTTCCTGTCAAGAGGAAGGAAGGAGGCTGAGATCCAGCCGGCCAGCCTCCTAGCCGGGGCGAGGCTGCAGCCCGGGGCGGGGCCGCCAGGGGGGGCAGGGCCTCCAGGTAGTGCCCCCTCCTGTGTCCTCCTGCGCACCCCCTCTCCAAACTCCGGAACCCCCTCTGAGCTTTGTTCTGCGCTTGGTTCAGCATTACTCTCAGCTGGCGGTGGGGAGGCATGGCACCCCTCAGCCCTGCAGGGGTCCCAGCAGCCTGGATAGGGGTCCCCCTCCCTCCCTCCCACCCCAAGAAAGGGGAGGGCGCACCCAGCGCTGGGCTCACCAGGGCCCCCCCTCCTTCCTGCTGGGTGACGCTGAGCAGGTCACCGAACCTCTCTGGGCCCATAAAGTGGGAATAATGGGTGAGGTGTGCCCTAACGGGTGGCCGGCCGAGTGGGTAAGAGGGAGGGCGCTCCAGGCCTGGGTCCCCGGTCCTGAGGGCCAGAAGGACGGCTGGCTATTCAGCCGGGAGGGGGAGGGCCCTGGGGGCTGGGCTCCTGTTGGGGTGTGGGGGGGCCAGGACTTAGCTCCCGGCTTACGGAGAGCCGGGATCCAGGCGCTGCCCAGCTCTTCCCGGAGGGGGGCGACCCAGGCCCACATGCACACACCTTTGGGGGGAAGGGATCGCCCCTTCCCTGCCCCCGGCCCGGCGGCCCGGAGCCCGGTCACCGACGCCGTCCCGCGGGCGCCGGGCGGGAGCGGGCACCGGCGCCCTAAGGCTCCATGTGCGGGACGGGCGCTCCTTTGTGCGGAGGTTCCGCCGCCCCCGCCGCCGGCCGGGCTCCCGCGGGGCACAGCCCGCCCCCACCGGGAGGTGACCGGTGACCGGGAGGGAGGGACAGCCCCCCCCGCAGGCCCCAGGAGCGGGGCCGGGTCCGGGGTCCGGGGTCCGGGGTCCCGGCGGGGCGGGGTGCGCTCCGGCCGGGCCGCTGTCACCGGGGCGCAGCGGAGCCGCGGCGGGAGGACGGCGGGCGGGACCCCCAGCCCCGCCCGGCTTACCTGGGCCGCCGGTCCCGTCCCGCCGGCTCCGATCCGACCCGATGCCGGAGCCGCCGCCGAGCCCGCAGCCGCCCGGCCTCCCGCCCTCCGCCCTCCCCGCCCCCCGGCTCCCTCCGCCCCGGCCCGGCCGCCTGACCATAAAAGGTGAGGCTTGGGGGCGGGGGCCGGGCGCCCGCAGGGCGGAAGCAGCCCCCCACCTGCCCCCCCACCTGGCTGGCCGCGCCCCGCGCCGCCCTCTCCCCTTCCCTTTGTTCCCGGACCCCTCCTCCTTCCCCGGGGCCCAGGCCTGGAGGGGGCGGGGGCTCCCCCTTCTGCCCACCCCGTGTCCCGTGTGCACCCCGAGTGGTCTCTCCCCTCCCCTTCCCCTTCCCCCTCCCCGGATCTCTTGGGCTGGTGGCCCTACCTGCCCAGTGAGGTGGAGGGGTGCTTACACCCCAGGGTGGCCTGGGTGGTCACCCCATCTGCCTGAGCCTCAGTTTCTTTGTCTGTAAAGCCGGGGTACGGCTGCCTGTCTCTCAGGGTCAGGCTGAGGACCAAGGTGCCCATGGCAGTGAGGAGAACACAGAGGGGGCACTCTATGCTGGGGGTGTGCGTGCGTGGGGGCCTGGGCTTCTTTACAGGGTGCCCCGGGGTGGGCACCCGGATGTGCTGTCCTGAGCTGGCACCACCTGTCTGGACCCTTCAGCAGGTGGGCCCCAATGCCCCCGGGGGCAGGCCCCTCCAGGAGGCCCGGCAGGCAGGGCCCAGTTGGCACCACATCCCCTCCCGCCTCCCGCACGCCTCCCCCCAGACCTGAGCGGGCAGATAATGCAGCGGGAAGGGAAGCTGAGCCGGGCCCTGGGGCCGGAGATGGAGCCGGGATGGGCTGCCTGGGTCCC